ATTTGTCCTAATTCAAACTTCTAAATTTTTTTTTACCACCTACAAGTTTAAATAAATGCACAATCAAAACATGGAGTATTTGATGAAACCAATTCGATGCTATAGATGTTGTTAGTGCATTTTTATATATACTTTGTCGAAGATAAATAAGTTGACCTAAGATAAAGCTAAAGGGAGTAGTACCTTTCAATATGTCATCCTTGCAAGAATGCTGGTTTTGTTGGTCATTATTTAATATGAATCTGTAGTTCTGTGTTGATATTTGTGCTTGAGGATGTACTCGGTCGTTCAATTTGACGTGTGTTTCCTTTTGTGGCCTGTTTGGGTGCCCTGAATTGGAATGCTTTTCCAGCATATTTGAGCAGCCATGCTCGCTAGTGCTCCTACGGTGTTGTGGACTTGAGGTTGTCCAATGGCTACCAGGAACATGTCGTTGCTTCAAAGGACTGGGGCAACAGGCTAGTAAATAGTAGAATAAAATGGAATTGGACTTTCCACTTTTCAAACCACAAATCTTACATTGGTCTATTGGGCATCATTAGAATTGATTAGAATTGCCATTTTAGTATAAACAGAGCCAAATAGACCGCCTCTAAACAATATGATTATGATTCAACCCAATTCCAGAGATACAAACAGGCTCTATATATTTTCCTCTGTTTCAAGGGCGTTGAGTGGTGATTGATGAAGCAATTCATGCTTGACTCCTATATATAGTGTTACTTCTGATTGGATTTAGTGCCTTTTGGTTTTATATTTCAGATTAACGAGGAGGCTAAGAAGTTTTCTTTCCAAACGGGACTCAGAGTCGTGGTAGCTTATGGGGGAACTCCAATGTATAACCAGGTGGTTGCTGCTTTCTTGCATGCTTTTCTTTTTCTTTACAACCCTTGTTTCATTGTCTATTTATGCAGACTAGTCTATTTGTAAAGCAGTTCAGATGTTCAGATAGCAATGTTAAGTGTAGAAGTAGAGCATATTTTTGGAAGTTTAACCAAAATATCTTATAAGTCATTGTCCCTGCAATTTCTTGATGTCCGACTCAATACAGTTAGGAATGGGGCATTATGGATAGACAATGCCGTATAACTTCTTGTGAATGTTCACGCTGTATTTATATTGCCTGCCTTCACAATATTGATGTGGTTTCTATTTCTTCATGCTTGCTGTTTTTAGCTGCGTGATCTAGAGAGGGTGTCGATCTTCTTGTTGCTACACCTGGACGCCTTGTGGACATGGTTGAGCGATCACGGATCTCTCTTGAGGCAATTAAGTACCTGGTAATGGATGAGGCTGACAGAATGCTGGATATGGGGTTTGAGCCTCAGATAAGAAAGATAGTTGACATGATGAATATGCCAAAAAAGTCTGTAAGACAAACTATGCTCTTCAGTGCAACTTTCCCACCTGAAATACAGGTAGAGAAATATGTTTACTGTGGCCTTTTTTGTTTTGGTAAAGCAGCATGAGCAGGCAGCTGAATATTTTTCTTGTTTTCTCCTATAACTTGCAAACTTTGGACTTTATATGACATGCATTTTTTTCTCCGAAAAGGGCAAGCATTTTTATAAGAACACTGGCAACTAAATGGCACTTCATTTTTTGAATAGAGGTGGATAACACTTAAATCTTATACTGCACAAAGGATGTTAGTCTTTAGGTTGTCATGATATAGTCTACAACTATTTGCTGTTACATTGATACATATTTGACTGATGTCTTATTGCGTTTCTTCCCAGAGGCTGGCTTCTGATTTCTTGTACAATTACATATTTGTTACTGTCGGGAGGGTTGGGTCAAGCACTGACCTGATTGAGCAGAAAATTGAGTTTGTTAATGATGGGGAGAAAAGAGGCTTCCTGATAGATCTTTTGCAGAAGCAATCTGTTGGTGTGGCCAATAGCAAGGTATATTTTAGCTTTTCTTATGTTGGATTTAAACAGATTGGTTTGGCATTTCTTGCTCGATAACTTCTAATGTAAATTTGCATGTTTTTCTAGCTGCAGCAACCCCTAACATTGGTCTTTGTGGAGACGAAGCGGAAGCTGATTCACTGCGGCATTGTCTACAGACAAAGGTTTCCCTGGCTACAGCAATCCATGGTGACAGAACACAACAGGTGAATACATTTCTCGCTATAGTAATTGCCTATCTGTTTCTTACATTACAGACCTAGAAACATGACACCAATTTTAGTCAAAAAATATCTGCAGTGGTGGTTTTATGTCTTTGGGCCTCACTGCTACAGCACAAAGCTTGCACTGGACCATTTGTTTCCAGTTCTAGGTCTATGTACTGTTACTGAAAGCTTCAAACTGTATTCCTCAACAAGACATTGAAGGCTTGAAACAGTATTTATGTTCCATGAAGATGATGGATCCTCTTTGCCCCAACAATTTAATCTGCCTAACTTCATCCACCAGTATTATATTGGCATTCATCTTTTTGCTACTAATGCTAAATCAGTTGTCATGTTAATTGATTATTAGTGTGTGTTTATCATAACTGTATTAATTATGACTGAAAATGGCTGCTTTTACTTGGCATGGTCTTCTTTGACCCCAACATTCCATGATTCAAATGTTATCTGTTACTATGATATGATGCTGTTGGTACTTTCAGCACAGCCATTTAATCAGTTGCTACCAGTGAATGTTTTCTGCATTTTATCTGTTATGTTTGGCACAAAATTAACCTATTTGTGCTTCCTTTTAGAAGTATAATGCTGATCTAATTTATTCTAATATGCATATTTTACATGTTCAGTATATAATTTTACATGTTCAGTATATAATTTCTTTTGTTTGTGCTTTCCCATTTTGTAGGAGCGGGAGAGCGCACTGAAATCCTTCAAGAGTGGCGCCACTCCTATCATGGTCGCCACTGATGTAGCTTCAAAGGGTCTGGATGTCCCCGAACGTGGCTCATGTGATCAATTACGACCTCCCCAAGAGCATCGAGGATTACGTCCATAGGATCGGAAGAACTGGGAGAGCCGGAAAGGCTGGGATTGCCACCGCTTTCTTCACCGAGTCGAACCACCCCTGGCAAAGGGCCTGCTGGAACTGATGACAGAGGCGGCGGGATGTGCCTGAGTGGCTTGTGGAGTATGCAAACAGGCCGTGCTACGGAGGGTCCAGCTACGGAGGAAGAGGCCGAAGGCGGCGGAGGGTTTGGCGGAAGAGACTACCGCCCGCAGCAGTGATTATGCCTATGGTGGCGAAGGTGGTGGCTATTCCAGCCGTGGTGGCCGCTACTCTGGTGGTGGTGGTTATTCCAGCCGCAGTGGTGGCTACTCTGGTGGCAGCAGCAGCTACTCTCTGGCGGCGGTTCTCGTGGTGGTGGCGGAAACTCTAGTGGTGGTGGTGGCGGTGGAGGTTCCTACGTATCAAGTGCCCCTCCTCCCCGGTACTACCCGTCGTACCCCATGGGCACCGCTGACATCAGTGCCTCTGGCTGGGACTAGTCAATGCCCACGCGTATCCTTAATGCACATACCATATATACAGATACATATACATATAGCACTACGTCTGTAGTAGCTCGGTCTTTCTCTGTTCCTTTTGCCTTGCCGGCCCTCTTCTAGTCCTGTCATATACATTGCCATGGCCCTGTTGCACAGGGGCAAGCTTGGGAGTGGGGGAACTTGGGGGCGGTTTTTTGCGTCAGTGTGGTGGGAGTGTTGCGACGATGGGAACCCACTTGGTGGTTGAACTTGAAGGTTATATATATGCATTATTACTCAGATATTGGCTGTAACGGTGGCATGTGACACTGCTGTTTTGCTATTCAATCCAAGAGCTGTCCAGGACTTGGTACTCTTGCGTCAGTGGTGGGAGTGTTATGACGATGGGAACCCACTTGGTGGTTGAACTTGAAGGTTATATATATGCATTATTACTCAGATATTGGCTGTAACCGTGGCAAGTGACACCGCTGTTTTTGCTGTTCTATCCAAGAGCTGTCCAGTACTTGCTGGTATTCTCAATCTCTGATGAAAGATGGAATGGGGAGTTTGGTTTCAGTTCTTTTTTTGGCGAAGGGAAGGGATTTATATTAAATCTTGACACGGTACATTCTCAAATTACATGTAAAAATTTAAAATAAAAATAAATTCTATTCACATTCTTTTAACGTCTTTTTCTTCAATGGCTTCTCTCGAACGTCGGAGCTAAAGTGCAGTTCTTATGTCGCATCCAACGATTAACCCCAATACATTGGACATGCTGTAAGATCCAACGCTTTAGAACTAGTCCAAAACGTATCTAAATCTCTGAAAGAATATCGGTAGTTGCACCATCGGGAATGACATAGGCTGCAAAAAGCATCACTTGGTGGCCATGAATTTCTCTCCACGACCATCGATTTATGAGATCGGTGATCTAGAGTCGGCTGTCCTCGTGAGGGGCTCCCAAAAACACCCCTACCCTTGCAGATAAAGGCCACAAATTGGTCGTCTACTCCTACCGATGAAATCGACGCTGCAACGACGATCTCGCCATCGTGATCATCATCCATCTAAACACAACCCCGACCGAAATTCATCCGATTTTGCCGTAATTTATTTGGACTCAAACCCTAAGACACTGGAAAATACGGAAAAGATGGGTCCCATCCCCTTCTTGTCTCCGTAGAGTCATCGGAGAGGAAGGAGAGGAAGCCTTTGGCGTGATTTGGCCTGGCGCGGCGGAGAGCGAGGAGCCGGGCGGTCCAACCCCCGCCCTAGGTGGCGGCGGCGTTGCATGTTATTCTTATTTTCAGTTCTATATGTACCGCCCCTTCACTTAATTTTGTTGTTTGGTTTCTATTATGAAATGGATTGATTCATCCACGACAATCTAATAGATAATACAAGTTTTACAGTGGTTGGAAAAATTATGAACCGTCTATTGATTCAGATCAGACGGTGGAAAAATAGGAAGCACCAAGAAAAAAAGTACCAGAAAGTACTGAAAAGTACCAAAACACGTGGGACCAGTACCACAAACATGTAGGACCAGCGTCTATTAATTTTTAGGTAATTTTCAGATATTATTGAAAATAAAGGGTAGTTCAGTAATTTCATCCACTCCGCCGTCCGTACAGCTACTCGTTCATCCTGCCGGTCGTTTTTTCCACAGCCGCTGCGCCGCACACCACACGTGGCCGCGCCTCGCCGCCGTGCCGCACGCCATGCATGGTGCTGGACCTCATCATCGCAAGCTGGAACCTCAACCACTCATCAGCGGACAGACGAACTACTCCGGTACGTACGCATCCCTACGAATGGCCAATAGTAATTACGCATCATACATAGTATATATTCATATGCATGGCGCTTGCATTGTAAATTCAGGCGTGGTCGGCAACGGCGCGACGTTCTACTTCCTGGTGTTCGCGATCCTGGCGGGCGTGGTGGGCGCGGCGTCGAACTCGAAGCTGGCGGGCGTCAACCACGTCCGCGCTTGGCGCCACGACAGCATGGCCATCACCGTGCTCGCCTTCGGCCTGGCCTGCAAGGAGATCCACATCGGCGGCCATCGCTGGCCGAATGGGTGTGTACATGTGCGGTCAAAGCTTATCCAATTACTACTTTACCCTTGTCTCCATTAATTTAATTTTACTAATTTTCTTTCTCAAATTAATTGTTTGTCAAAATAAAAATAGAAAGTACGGAAAAGTACTAATAGTACTTTCCAACCACCGAAACAAGCCTCGATAGATAATATTAACATGGGGAAATATAGCTAGTCGACCAAATTTCATGAACTCAGGCCCTGACAGGGAAAAACATAGGAAGAACAAAGCAATCAAGTACCAGGTCTTTACCGATATGTTGCTACGTTTGGAACAAAGAAAGAGATAGAAACCATTCCAGAGGAAAGGTGATGAAACCTGCACTTTTGGATGAATGAAAAAAATAAGCTCTTAGCTCATGGGAATATTTCCTGTGACTCGCTCGCATGCACACTCACACGCTAATCCAAGGTGTTTTCTGTATCTTTTTTTCCTGAAGCTCGAGCAACGAACAATCGTTATGTTGACGCTAATCCAAGGTGTTTTCTATATCTTTTTTTTTCTGAAGCTCGAGCAACGAACAATGATTATGTTGTACAAACTGGCTCAATTTAGCAAACATGCATTGCAAAATTCCAAAAATTAAATATTTGCCAGGTTATGTCATACACATCAGATAATTTATGAACACAAGCATTTAAATTAAATAATGAAAAGATAATCTATATAACTCATATTCATAAACAGAGTGTGACATACTGACATAGCCATCGACACGTAGGTAAAACACTAGACAAAAATCTAAGTGTTTAGATTTATCAAAAATTGCTCTCAGATTAAGTTTCTTAGTCGTCCTCAGGACTATTAGGTCCTGTCTTATACATTGCCATGGCCCCGTTGGATAGGGGCAAGTTTGGGGTGGTTGGTGGTTTTTGTGTCAGTGTTGTTCGCGACGATGGGAACTCACTTGGTGGCTGAACTTCATGGTTATATATATGCATTATTACTCAGATATTGGCTGTAAAACGGTGGCAAGTGACACTGCTATTTTTGCTGTTCAATCCAATAGCTGCTAGCTGACCAGTACTTGCTGGTACTCTGAATCTCCGACGATACATGGAATGGGGGAGTTTGGTTTCTGGAGTTTATATGTAGCGTCTCTCCACTTAATTTTATTGTTTGATTTCTGTTATGAAATGGATTGATTCATCACCTTTCATCCATGACAAGCTAATAGTTATTAATATTAACATGAGGAAATATAGTTACTCGACGAAATTTCATGTCATTGTCGTTAACTCATGATGTATAACTCATCTAGAATGAGGTGTGTCGGTGTTTTCAGACCACCGACGAGTAAATTTGTATTTGCGCGTCTGGCTCGGATGACGTGCTCGGAGGACACAAGGGTTTATACTGGTTCGGGCGGAACGTCCCTACGTTAAGTTCGCTGCTGCTCATGTTACCGGCACTTGGTTTGCAGTAGGGGTTACAAATAGACGAGAGAGGGAGAGGATCCCAAGTCTCTGGTAGAAGGAGTGAACAGGTGCTAAGAGCTCGCTTGCCATTCAGCCGTGTGCTCGTGTCATGCTCTTGTGTCCCGATCTCCCTTTTCATGGGGTGTCTTGCTTCCCCTTTTATAGGCGAAGGAAAAGCGCGGGTTACAGAGGAGGAAAATGAGAAGAACGAGAGAGAAGAAGGCTTCCAGGGTTGTCGGGTCCTTCTTCTCCTTTATGCGGGTCCCACCGATCCTGTAGATGTCAACATGGACGGCTCCATGTCGTGGCCCTGTTCGTCACTGGCGCCATTCGCAGGCGTCATCTACCGGTCATGGCGTTCCACTCCGTCCCGACGGACGTCGTAGTGAACTGACGCGCCTGTCAGCGTCTGTACGAGGATTAGACATAACATCACCGGCACGCCCGACATTGTTCTTGATGTGAATCCCCAAGTATGGCCCGTCATGGCCACAGGTTACATCGAGGCATGCCAGCCTCTTCTCTGGCGTCAGAGTTTTGACCCAGGCCCATACGCTTGGACCTGGAGTGGTTAGCGGCGGTATGGGTCCCCGTCGGACGAGACAGAACCCGTGTCCTTGAAGTCGGGCGAGACGAAATCCACGGCCTTGGGAGAGATGGAACCCGCGTCCTTGGGGTCGGACGAGACGGAGCCCACGGCCTCGAGGTCGGGCGAGACGAAGCCCACGGCCTTGGGTCGGGTGAACCTTTTAATACGTCTCGAGCCATCTAGAGAAGTCAGCGTGGGCACTAACTTCCTTTCTTTCAGTATCTCTAATATCGATACCCAACAGCAGCCCCCGAGCCTACGGAGGAGTAGAATACTCCTTTGGAGGTTTTTTCAGACGGAAGGACTCTGAGGGCCTTGGTCTTCTTTTTTTTAGCCCGCGGCGTGTTCTGGTAGAACGGCGATTCCCTTTTGTCACGATCGGTCTTCTTGGGGGCATGTAACCGTAGGATTCGGGAGGTCATAAAGATTTTTCTTGATTCCGGTGCCCTAGGATCCTATCGGTCCGCGGTCGTACTACGATCGTGCGCTCGGTCTCCTTGTGAGTCCAACTTCCCTCGAGCCTCCGCGCGTAGCAGGGGTCCGTTCGAGGGTTGGCTCGTCTTTGTGATCGTCATCCCTCAAGCGTTTTTTGATAAAACAGAGGGGTTGAGCTGTGCCATGTTTTTCCTCGATGGACAAAACATGGTGCTCGGTGAGCTGTTAACGGGCTAGTCCGAGTGGGGCCCTAGCTTTCCGTTCATGGGGGTCCGGCATGGGTCAGCTGGTGTTCAACTCCAGATTCTCTATGGCCAATCCATATAGTTCTCGGGTCCGTTTGACCGGTCCCAAGGGCTCGTTGCCTTTCTTCGAGGAAAAACCATAGACTGGGAACTGACCAAGACTCAAACGTGGGCTGGGATGCTCGCAGCGCTCGTGCGCCCAGGTACTGGCCGCTAGTGGGACCATCCCTTTCCACCCCTCACTCTAAGGGCGCCCTAAAGTGGCTGTGAACCCATCGGAAGGCCATCCTTTGAACTCCTAGGCCTGAATGGGCCGTAGAAGCGTTTTTAGCTCCATATCCCTCCTTACCTGTGACGGTTCTCGCGCCTGTCTACACCGACGCCGAGGTGGACGACATCGATAAGGAGGTGGCCCCTCTGGCACAGGACTTACCTACCGAGATAGAGGATGAGATCATCCCCCAAAAAATTAGTTAGACAGATAGGCCAAACGACGAACTTGTAATAAGTGGACAAGCTCTTAAATTTCGTTATGGACAAACATATTTTTAATTCTTCTCCCCTTTTTTATAAAAAGGTTAATGCGTTCTGACCCTTTCTGTCGTTAAGGATGTAAAGCTTGGGGTACGGGTGAAAAAACTCTGATCACGCTGGTGAGCAAAAATGCAGTAGCCGCTGGGGCGTAGGTTTCTTGCAGTCTGACCAGTTTTACTCAGCATTCATTTTTGCAACCCTTGCTTCTAGATCTTAACGTGAGAAAAGGTCGGGCACAGAGAATGTTTGCCGGGTAGATATACTTTTTAATGCGTTTTGACTCTTTCCGTAGTTAAGTCTAAAAAGCTTGGGGGTGCGGGTAAAAAACTCTGATCATGTTGGTGAGCAAAAACGCCGTAGCCGTTGGGGCGTAGGTTTCTTGCGGTCCGACCAATTTTACTCAGCGTTTGTTTCCGCAACCCTTGCTTCTAGATCTTATCATGAGAAAGAGTCGGGCATAGAGAATGTCTATCGAATAGATATACTCTTTAATGCGTTCCGACTCTTTTCGTAGTTAAGGCTAAAAGGAACAGGGTGCGGGCAAAAAACTCTGATCACGCTGGTGAACAAAAACACCATAGCCACTGGGGCGTAGGTTTCTTGCGATCTGACCAGTTTTACTCAGCATTTGTTTCCACAACCCTTGCTTCTAGATCTTAACGTGAGAAAGGGTCAGACATAGAGAATGTCTACTGGATAGATATGCTCTTATCAGCCCCTGAGTGAGGCCTGAGCCCTTGCCATTGCTGGGGTCGGGTGTCACTAAAGATCAAGGAGTCGATAGCGAAACCGATAAGAGAAAGCGTGCGTAGCTGTTCGATGTTCCAGGCGTTGATGAAGACTTTGCCGTCAATGGTCTTGAGCTTATAGGTGCCTAGTCTGAGCACCTCCCCAACAACATATGGTCCCTCCCACGGTGGAGAGAGCTTGTGGCAGTTCTTGTTGCTCTAGACGAGGCAGAGCACTAGGTCCCCGACGTTGAAGGCCTGACCCCGCACTCGACGACTGTGGTACCGGTGCAATGCTTGCTGGTACTTGGCCGAGTGGAGGAGGGCAACATCGCGCGCTTCATCTAATTGGTCCATGGCATCCTCGAGGGATGCCTCAGCTCCATGTTCATCGTACACCTTGACCCTCGACGCTCCATAATCAAGGTCGGTCAGGAGGATAGCCTCGGAACCACAGACCATGAAGAATGGCATGTAGCTGGTGGCCCGGCTAGGAGTCGTCCTCAGGCTCCAGAGCACTGCAGGAAGCTCCACGACCCATCGTCTGCCAAACGTGTTCAACCGGTTGAAGATCCTAGGCTTGAGGCCTTGTAGGACCATGCCATTTGTGCACTCGACCTGTCCATTCGTGCGGGAGTGCGCCACGGTGGCCCAATCGATGCGGATGTGGTATTCATCGCAGAATCGGAGGAACTTTTCCTGATGAACTGCATGCCATTGTCCGTGATAATGGAGTTCAGGACTCCAAAGCGATGGACGATGTCAAGAAAGAACAACACGGCTTGCTCGGACTTGATTACAGAGATCGGTCGAGCCTCTATCCACTTTGTAAACTTGTCTTTGGTGACAAGCAAGTGCCTATAGCCCCCGGGTGCCGTCTTGAGAGGTCTGACCAGATTGAGCCCCTAGACCACGAACGGCCACGTGATAGGGATCATTTGGAGTGCTTGGGCCGATAGGTGGGTCTACCGAGCATAGTATTGACACCCTTCATAGGTGCGCACAACCTGTTTAGCGTCGACTACTGCGGTCGGCCAGTAGAAGCCTTGTCGGAACGCATTTTCGACCAGGGTTCTAGGTGCGGCAT